GGACCCAGACACGCCAAACTACCACAGGTGAGTTCATGTCGTTGAGAATGTATATACTACCTCTTCAGAGGTACCCAGAAATGTCTCCAGCTCACCTACAGATATCCATTCTTGGCAGATGCAGCCTCTTGAACCCAGGGTACAAAGGAGAGAGTTGCCTGGGGGCAAAGGTGAGAGCAATTTCTCAGATTTGGGAATCTGAAGATCTCTAGCCTGCCTAGACTTCTCCAAGCCCATTAGCACCAAAATTACTTAATGTGCTTCCTAACAAATGTAGATTCCTGAGCCCCTTCTCCCCCTGGCAATTTATTAAATCAGAGACCTGGGCGGGGAGGGGTGGCAGGAGTCCCTATTCTGATAAAGACTGTCCACTCCTCACTCCCAGTACCCAGTTCCCTACTGTCTTCATCTGCTAAGCTAGATGTTGCATTTCACCCCTGGCCAGATCCCTGACACCCATCTCCGTGGTTATGCATTGTGGCCAGAGCAGGGTGCCCCACAGCTGGTCCAGCCAGATGGGCCCGGGGTCCAAGACACTGATTTTCTCCTGTATGTGTGGGTGGCCCACACTTCCAAGTGCCATGGAGAGGTGAGACCCAAATCGAATCCCTTTCCCTGTCTGCCTTTCTTAAACTTAAATATCATGGGAAAGGGGAGGGAGCACAAAGGCAGTTTTTACTAAATTGTGCTTATTCTAGGTGACTCGGTCATGTTGATGAAGTTTGGGTGGGAGCTAAGCCCTTTCAAACCATCCCTTGGTACTGAGTTCCCCGGGTGTCCATTTTCAGGAAGATTTCCTCTGTGTTCCCTCACTTCCCTGCTTCCCACCTCTACCTTGTCCTGGCCCATCCACAGCCCTCTGTCATGGCCTATGCTGCCTGCTGCCATCTGGACTCAGAAGACAGACCCCTTGCTGGGACCATCGTCTACTGTGCCCAGCATCTCACCAGCCCCAGCCTCAGCCACAGTGACATCGTCACGGTGACTGCTGCATGAGGAGTAGGAAGGCGCAAACAGGTTGGGGAGAGGGGGCAGGTCACTCAGCTTCCCATGAAGTGGAAGAATCTACTAAGGATGGAGGACAAGATGCCTCAGCTCTAGGAAGAGCTGAGTGGGCAGAGCGGGCTATAGAGTGGCGGGTCAACCTGCTCCGTCCCCCATCCCCCTCACCCTGCAGTCATTTGTCCTTAGGTCACACTCCATGAATTGCTCCATGCTCTGGGTTTCTCTGGACAGCTCTTCAAGAAGTGGCGGGATTGCCCCTCAGGACCCAGCGGTAAATGGGAGGAATGAGGGCAAGCTTCCCCACGATGTCAATAAGAGGGGATCACCATCACCCCACCAACTCCTTCCTTCCAGTTCTGCTCCCCCCCTTCCTAAGTGTTCCTTTCCTCATATTGCCTTCTTCCCCTTCTGTGCTCAGCTAGAGAGGACTGTTCAACAAGGCAACAAGTGACAAGGCGAGATGAGTGGGGACAGCTGCTTCTCACCACCCCAACTGTTAGCCACAGCCTGGCCAGACACTTGGGAGTGCCGGGGGCTTTGCCGGGTGTTCCCTTGGAAGAAGAGGTGGGAACGGGAGCACCTGGCGGAGCTGGAAGGAAGAGGGTGCGGTCGGGTGGCAACCAGCTCCCTCTTCCCTAGGGTCCTTCGTCTTCGCACTGGGAGGCCCGACTGCTCCAGGGTTCTATAATGACTGCTACCTTTGATGGTGCCCGGCGCACTCGGCTCGATCCCATCACTCTTGCTGCCTTCAAAGATTCGGGCTGGTACCGAGTCAATCACAGCGCTGCGGAGGGGCTGCTGTGGGGCCGGGGTGAGGACAGGGGAGGATGGCAGAGGGGCCCTCACGACCCGAGTCAGCGTGCGGGCAGTGAGAGGCTGGGAGGGATTTTCTGCTGCTGAGGTGGAACCGAAGCCGTGAGCACAGCAGGTGCTGAGGGATGCTTGGCGTTTCGTTTGTTTGTTCGGAGGGCTCTTTCTCTTCCTGTCTCTCCAGCAGGATCTGGCCTGGAATTTGGCCTGGTGACTACGTGTGGGGCTGGCTCCTCAGACTTCTTCTGCACCGGCAGGTACGTGTGCTGCGTGGTTGAGGGGCTGTATGGCCATCGGGGACCCTAGTGGTCAGCTGCCATCCCTCCCACTCAGCGGACTGGGCTGTCACTACCTGCATCTGGACAAGGGAAGCTGTTCCTCGGACCCCGTGCTGGAAGGCTGCCGCATGTACAAGCCCTTGGCCAATGGGGTGAGACGACTAGAGAGAACAGAATGAAACAGAGCGGCCCCGAGCGGAGTCAACGTCTAAGGCATCTCGGCAAACGCTTTTCTGCCTCCTGCCCCGCCTTTCAGAGCGAATGCTGGAAGAAGGAAAATGGGTTCCCACCTGGGGCTGAGAACCCCCACGGGGAAATTTACCATCCCCAGAGTCGTTGCTTCCTTGCCAACCTCACTTCACAACTGCTCCGTGAGGACAAGACTGGGCATCCCTCTGAGATCCCACACCCGAAGGAAGCAGAGCTCACCGGCCGCTGCTACTTACATCAATGCACAGAGAGAGGAGCATACAAGGTGCAGGCACAGGGGTCACCCTGGGCCCCATGCCTTCCTGGAAAGGCCATTCAGGTGGGTATCGTAAGTGAAAAGCCATATAGCGCATTGGCGAAAAGGAAGTTTAAAAGTCCTCGGAATAGTAGTACTATCCAACTTATTTCGATGTTCATTCATTTTTTACTAAGTACCCGTTGAGTCCATGACCCCGATCTAGATTGTACTTTTTCCTTAGAAGGAGGGCTTGAGCAAGCAAATGAGGTCCTAACTATACCCTGCAATGTATTTCCTTGCAGATACCTGGGTACTCGGGTCTTCTCTTCTGTCCCCGGGGTCGGCTGTGTCAAACTAACGAAGTTACCAATGCTGTTACTTCCCCACCTGTGAGTCTTCCACCCCAAGACCTGTCATTCCAGCTGTCTTTTCAATTAGCTGGGCCCCCAGGCCACTCGGTGGGGAAGGAAGAGCTGGACGGGCTGACTGAAGCAGTACTCCAGGCGCTGGTGAGCAGAGGCAGCCCCAGCAGGTAAAGGGGCACTTCAGGCTGAGGATTTCTCCAGTGGGCCAGGGAACGGCTTAAGTGGGTTGCTTCACAACTCTCCTCTGAAGACTTTGTCCCACTCCTAAGCCTGTACCTGCTTCAGGAGATAGACTCTTCCAGGGACTCTACCTCCCTTAAGAGATCCAAATGTCCCTATAGGTGCTATTTCCACAGCCCCTCCACTACCACTAGTCTGGTGTTCACTGTGTACATGGGCAAGTCCCCTGGCTGCCAAGGGCCTTCAGTTGGTACGCTGCACAGGGCCCTGACCCTGACTCTCCAGAAGAAGCCCCTAGAAGTACATTTTGGAGGAGCCAGCTTTACCACAGGACACACCAAGTAAGATAATATTCCAAGTGGTTTTCTTCCAAATTCCTGGAGTCCAGATGTTTGAAATTGCATTAAGTACTCACTTGTATGTAGGTCCTAGACAGGATTATTTATTTCAGAAAACAACTCATGTGATCACCTCAGGTCTGTCACTACGGGACACCTTTCCCTCCATAATAAGGGAGTTCTCCATCTCTAGGACATAGGGATCCCAGTCCTCTTCCTCCCTTAAGTACCAATGGGGCACCATGTCCAGTTTCCCAAACACCATAGTCTAACTCTTCCCTTAAACCATTTCCTTCACTGCCAAGTTAGGTCTCCTTCCAACAATTTAAGTTGCTGGGAGACTCAGATCTTGGTCTTTTTCCTACTTTCAGGTTCTATATTCCTCTGATTTCCTGTGTAGCTTACTGATTGGATGATGCAGGGTTTCATGAGCTCTGTGTATTAGGATAAAGGTGAAGCCCTTCACCTCCTAAGTCTAGGCATTATACCAAGCCAAATGTTACCTCTGTGTTCCTAGGTTGCTGGTTACCTTGGACCGTAATCCCTTTGTGACCCATCTAGCACTGTCCACAGGACTCTGCCTAACACTGCTTATTCTGGTGGGTGCACTGGGAACCGTGGCCTATCAGAAACGAGCTACTCTTCGGGTGGCACCATCTGCCCCTCACCATTCACCAGAGCTCCAAGACACAAGGGGCCCAGCTGGAGGAATAAGGGAGGTGTGATGTTACCCACAGCATGACAGGGTAGATAGGGCAGATTATTTCTTGGAAGACAACTGGATGGCAAGTGTACATTTCAGTTCTACTTTTCTCAGAATGCCTCTTCCTCTAGGTATCACCTCTATACTAGCCTTGTAATGAAAAAAAGCAAGAGACATGGTTCTGAAGATTCATTCTTTATTTTGATACAAAAAATAAACCCTTCAACCTATAGTGTCACTTGTTTTCATATCACAAGCAAACTTATGGAATAGGAATCTGTTACCAGATTCCTGCTCCAAGAGTATCACGTATGCTTTAGGAAAAGTCATTGATATTTGGATTCAAACAAACATCAGTGTGAAAGGAGTAACTAATTATCTCCTTCTCCTGATTTTTCCATAATTTTACAAAATCATCACTAGGAAAGCTAATAGTTGGGACGTCACATAATTATGCCAGAATCTGGTAAGGGCAGTGAAACCAGCCATGTGAATCCAGTTAAACTGTAAAAACATGACCTTTTATTGTCCTTCTCTCCTGTTTCTGGAGTAGGAAGGCTCTACTTTATAGCCCCATGGGCCAGAAATATACTCGAGTTATAATGTGTAGGTTCCTTCTGGTTATATGTGCAAAAGAAGCCACAGAATTCTTGAGGGTCTGACATGTAGAAAGGAGCAAGCTAGGAGGCAGACTGCTGATCTAGATTTACTTAGATGGAAAACACTTATGCGAGCAATCCAGTTGATAGGCTGTTAACATTGAAATAACCAAGCCTTGGGGCGCCTGGGTGGCTCAGTTGGCTAAGCATCCAACTCTTGATTTCGGCTCAGGCCATGATCTCAGGGTTGTGAGATCGAGCCCCGCGTCGGGCTCGGTGATGGGCATGGAGCCTGCTTAAGATTCTCTCTCCCTCTCCTTCTGCCCCTCCCCACCCCCAAAGAAATAATCAAGCCTGTACTGGTCAACAAGTTCAGTCAGCTGATCAGGATACCATCCCTAGACCTTTATGTGACACATTTGAAGTTCTCACAGTAAAGTTGCGACTCCATCAGCTGTGATTATCTTCTTTGTAATGCCCATTAGTCTTTACCAGCCGTAGCAGCCACTGCCTGGTAAAACTTTGCCACGAAGTCTGGCTCACTGACCTCCAGCTGCCTGACAAATTCATTGCGCTCTTGCTCAGCCCAGCCTCGAAACCACTGATCCCAAAGACGTAGCTGGCACTCAAAGATACAAGGTGGTCGGTTTGCTCCAGAAACACTAAGCTGCTCCAGCCCTTCCAGCAGTGGCTGTAATTTTCCTGGCACCGCCTTAGCTACCAGGTCCTGTAGGAAACGTTCACGCTGCGGACCTGACCAACTGGCAAACCAGTGAAGAATACACTTCATCTCCTGGGAAGTGATGTAAGACATTGGGGGAGGGGAAGAGTTAGTAATACTGTCTGGTACTGAGGGTAAGGGAGAAGGGAAGGAGAGTGGCATCGAAGAGGAAGATGATTCCAGTGGCATCCTGAAACATAAAAGCACTGTTATATACTCTCTAGATAGAGTAACCAAAATATAACTTCCCAACAAGGAATCTTATCACAATCAGCATCTACAGATAAAATTACTTTTCAACAATTCAGTTTACAGGAAAACAACAGGGTACTTCATATAGGTTATTATCCAATCACCTTAGAGAAGGTAACTCAAGAATAACTTCGTTTCATACTTGCCAACGTTCCTGTTTTTCAAACTCATCACCCTCCCCAACCACTGCTTCTCTCCATTATTCTCATAAAAAAAAACTAAAAATAACCAACATATTTCTTGCTCATTCTCTGTGGCCTACTTCTATGTTCCAGGGTGAGTAAAGAAAAAATGATTAATGTTGGTGCATCTCATCTTCCTCGAAATGAAAAAGGTACATATTTTTTAATCTAGTACATGCAGCTGGTCTGGGCCTAGATGCTAATCATTCCAGAGCTATCAACAGTGAGAAAATAAAAAAAATTTTAAAAAATCATATATGATGAAAGAGCCGCCTTTGTAATGTGCATATAGCCTCTGAAATACGCCCAGAACTTCGTAACATCCGTTACTTCCTTATATTTCCAGTAAAGCACCAGGAAAAATTGAAAAGCAGAGTGAGGGTGCCTCACCCAAAATAAGATAACACAGTAAGAAAAAATAGGCGAAGCCACATGTTTATTCAAGACTGAAAAAAGTCGGAGATCCTGGGTGGCTCAGTCGTTAGGCGCCTGCCTTCGGCTCGGGTCACGATCCCAGGGCTCTGGAATCGAGCCCCGTATGGGGCTCCCTGCTCGGCGGGGAGCCTGCTTCTCTCTCTCTCCCACTCCCCCCTGCTCGTGTTCCCTCTCTCACTGTCTGTCAAATAAATAAACAAAATCTTTAAAAAAAAAAAAGACTGAAAAAAGTCTAGTTGGTTTGGTGGCTTAGGAGTATAACGTGTTACACTGCTGTAGATGTATGACAATTGATGTCTTTGCACATTTATTGATGCCCTGCCATTGATTTGCATCAGTAATGCAAATAGGTCAGTCGACTTGAATAGATTTCAAGTTCCACAGTTTGAATTTCTAACAATGAAAACCTTAAACTACTTATCAATGACCTATTTTACTGTTTGCGTTCCTTCTCCTGCAAGTTGGGTTTGTAGTGACAAAGAAAGGAACCCCTAAGCAATCAGCATCATCAGTTCAGTACCCAAACAGTCCAAGGAGATTGCCTTTTTCACAGCAATTCCTCCTAAGGAACTTTATTCTCTTACTCGGGTAAGGAAAAACTTTCTCCGAGTCTTGCCTCCACAGCAAACTCAAGTTCAACGATTATGAATTAGTTCACAGTCTGGGCCCCAAGGCACGGTGCTGCCACTTGCCCACTTTGGAGGCCTTGAGCCTGGCATTCCAAGGACCCAAAGAGCAACGTAGTCTTAGATGGGAGTGGCGGGGATTCAAGAGATTGGGAGGCGGCAGCTGTATCGGTAGCAAGGCGGGAAGTGTGCCCTACTAGGGTAACCCGCAAACACCGAGTCTGACCCGGCTCAGAGAGGGACTTCTACCCCGCTTACCTCCCCTTTCCTCTCACAGGGCACCCGAAGACCGTCACAAAAGTGCTTAAATTCCAACAGTCGCCGCCGCTTCCATGTTTCCTGAAAACCCTAAGCAGGACCAGCCCGTCAGCCCACGCACTTCCGGTCCCGGACCAGCCCCAAACACCCAAGCGCCTCAGCGCCTCAGCCTTAGGTTCGGAGTTAGCCGAGTAACTCCGATTTTGGTTATGCCAGAGTCGAGGGCTTCCGAGTACATTCGATTCAAAGCCTCGGTGAGACGAAAATAACCGAGCTCTGAAAGCAGCGCGAGGGAGGGGGAAGTGGCTGAGAGGAGGGAAAGAACTGATTGGTGCCGATGTGGAGACGGAAATACCCGAGCAGATCCGGAGGAACCCGGGGAGTTCTGAGTGGTAATCGAGGGGTTGACTATGGCAGTGGGCGGGGTCAGCTCGGTACGTTCGAAGGGCGTTGGCGGAAATTACCGAAGATGCCCGAAGCCGTCGGGACGGACCCGAGTACCTCACGCAAGATGGCGGAGCTGGAGGAGGTGACTCTGGACGGGAAGCCTCTTCAGGCGCTGCGGGTGACCGACCTGAAGGCCGCACTGGAGCAGCGAGGCCTAGCGAAGAGCGGGCAGAAGAGTGCTCTGGTCAAGCGGCTCAAAGGGGTGAGAAGTCGGCGTTGCCGGGGTGTCGGAGGGGAGCGGACCCGGTAGAGACGAGTCTCTGCCGCGGCGCAGGCGCAGTGTCCGGGCTCCGCGCGAGGTTGCTCAGGCCGCCAGCGCGAGCCTCCGGATCCGCGCGCACGGTAGTTGCTGAGGCTCGCGCTGGAATAGAGATAGCGCCGGTTCCCGCCCTAACGGCAGCGGCGCGAGCCCAAAATGGGAGGGTGCGCGCTACTCTCCCGGAGTGTCTTAAGCTCCTTCCTCCTTCCCCCACCCCCTCCTTGTTTGTGTCTGTGGTTTCGGCGCATGCGCTGCAGAAGGAGTTAAATCCCACTACTACCACCGGCGTTTGCTGGCCTGAGGGGGGCGAATTGGGCTGGGTCGGAGTTAGGGGTATAGTTGGGCGGAGGGGTTAATGGGGTTGGTGTCGGTGTTGGTGTCCGGAAGAATAGGATTGGGATAGAGTAAAATGACTACCTGATTAGATTAGGAGGTGAGATGAAGAGAAATCTTGATTTGAAGGGACTCGGTTATAGAGGGGTGTATAATTTATAGGGCATTCGGAAGCAATTTGGGCGGATAAGAGTTTGGTGAATCTTGGTGAGAGAGGTTGGGCAGGTTGATATATGTTGGGGGTTTTGAATCGATTTGAGTAGCTTAGGGTGGGATCGTCATGAGGTGGGTGGATTTGTGTGTATAGATTTGGTGTAAATGGAGGGAAGATGAGGATGTCTTGGTTTTAATTGGGGTTAATTAGGATACAAGGCCTGTAGTGCAGATTAGGGCTGGGTTCGCTCAAGGGTTAAATTGACGGACCGTTGCCTCTACAGAAGCTGACGGTTTTGTGTGTGGATTGGGTCATCCATAGCTTGGAGTCTGTGGTCATTTTGCTCTATAGCCTCCTTTTTGAAATTTTTATAGAGTTGATAAATCTAGGTGCCACTCTGTTGGAAACAATACAAGTTCACTCAAGTAGATCTTGTCCTGGGTAACTGACCAAGTAATTCAGTCAGGCCAAAACCAGCAACCCCATGTTGGTTTCTGTATTTGAAGCTGACTTGAGCATTTGAAGTCATTTTACCTGCATGGCCAGATTTAGAAGGGGCATTAGTCAGAAGTGCAGAAGATAATAGGGACTGTGGTACTGGTTCTGTCACTGTCACTGATTTTATTACATAGCCACGTCAATGATTTTCTCCATGTGCCTGCATTTTACATTTGTATTTTGGGGAGCAGTAACCATGGCTACTTTTAAGGGTCTTCTGAAGATGAATGAGAATTAGTAAAAGGCTTTTAGGTCCCTGGAAAAGGAGTACAGGTTAAGTGTATATGGTTAGTCATTGCATTCAGTGAAGAGATTGGGGAGGGCTTGGGGTTTATTCCCTTAGATTCTGACTCTTGCCCTTCTCTGTACCAGGCTCTAATGCTAGAAAATTTACAGAAACACTCAACACCCCATGCTGCATTCCAGCCAAATTCCCAGGTAAGAAAAAAGGTTCATTAGATAGGGTGGGCTCTTTGAATGCACAGACATATGGAAGGACATAATGATGTATACTTGATGCTTAATTCCTCACCAGTATTTTTCTAAGTTCCCTGGGTTGGAAATTTCCTCATAACAGCACAGTTGAGCTCTAATAAAGAATTCAAGAACCGAATTAGAAGAGCTATTAGTTAATTTCTGATACTTGCAATGGTATGTGCCGAAAGATGTGGCTCCAATTGATTAAGTGTAGTACAAGAATATGAAGTCATTTACTTGCCATTCATTTGGGGAAAGTAGTTGCTGTCTTTGAATGTAGATATGAAGTAGACAATCAGGGCAGTGTAAGAAAATACTTGCTTGGGCGCCTGGGTGGCTCAGTTGGTTAAGCGACTGCCTTCGGCTCAGGTCATGATCCTGGAGTCCCTGGATCGAGTCCCGCATCAGGCTCCCTGTGCCTGCTTCTCCCTCTGACCCTCCCCCCTCTCATGTGCTCTCTCTCTCTCATTCTCTCTGTCTCAAATAAATAAATAAAATCTTT